ATATAAACTCGATCTTCTTGGATGATATCATAGTATTTCTTGATATCCAGCTCACACTTCATTTCATTTGGGCGACGCAAATCGATTTCTCTCCATAAGCCTTGGAGATCATTGTAGTAAGTTTCAATCGAGCCTCCCCCTTGTCGCATACGGGAGATTCGCCTTTTAAGATCATACACCTGGGAGGTGTCAGTGCCATCAAAGTAAGTTGTGGCTATTGCATCCCATACTCCTTTGGCCGTCGGGAATCTAATGAAGTTGCCAATCAACCTTGGCTCCATGGAGTTGATTAGCCACCCTTTCACAATTGCATTTTCTGTCCGCCATCGGTTGAATGTAGAGTCTGTCTGAGAAGGTGCTGGGAGTTCACCCGTGAGATATCCCAGCTTGTCTTTGCCAGCAACATACATCTCAATAACTTGAGACCATAAGGCATAGTTGGAGCCATCCAATTTAATGCCAATTTGTGCAGAGGAGGTTTCGTAGGTAATTGTCGGAGTCGGAGTCGTAGTCGATGTTGATGCTTGTATCTTCATCAACTCAGCCATTTGAGTAGAAAATTCTGTGAAGGTAGAAGGAGTAGCCGGGTCGGTGGTGCTACTTTCAGTGGGAAAGAAGTCGTTTTCTCCCATGATTGCAGCAACGATTCAAGACTAGAGTCAGCAAGATCGCTGCTCTGATACCATGTCAAATTAGGAAGAAATATTGAAGGTTGAGTAGAGATAATGGAGAGTGTAGAGAATTTTGGAAGCTATGCATATTTTCTGATTTCAACTTATGTTCATTCTATTACACATCAAAACATATATACATGTAATAACCCTAAAACATTCCATGAAACATTCCCTAAGACATTCCATGAAACATTCCCTAAGACAAGGATTACATTGCTCAAGAAAAGTATTCCCTAAAACAAGGAATGAGACAAGTGCCATGAGACAAGGGTTGTCTTGTGTTTCATGTCTTTGTGTTTCACAAGGTGACACTCACACAAGATGCCAATATTGCTAACAGTTACCATATTTTGTCTTAGACAAACACACTGGCCATTACATTAGAGTTTTAAAAGCTTGAGCATTTGAGCAAAACACTTGTGATCTCAGGACTTGGTAACATTGCGCATGACGAGGATGATTTGGAAGAGAATATCATGAGCGGCAAGAAGGATCTGGATAAACTAATAATGAGATGGGGAGATGGTATAACTGAGGATCCAGCAAAAGATGGAGAACTGCTCCAAAAGCTCCAGCCTCATACAAACGTCAAGGACCTTGTAATTGAATCTTTTGGGGGTATGAGATTTGCAGTTTGGTTAGGAGACACCTCTTTCTCTAATCTATCTTCCATTGAACTTTGAGATTGTAAACATTGTTCCTTATTGCCATCGCTGGGGCAACTGCCGTCCATATTTTCGGGTTAAACAACGTGGTGCGGATAGGTCCTGAGTTTTATGGCAATGATACTTGTGGAGTTAAGCCATTCAGATATCTACAAGAATTGACTTTCGAAGATCTGTTGGAGTGGCCCAAGCTGGAATTTTTATTAATCTTGGTTTGCCGAGACTGAAAAATTGTCCCAAGCTGACTGAGATATGGCCCGTAGATAAGAGTGCTGCTATTTCCACCCCCTTGTCCTATTTCCCCACCCACCATATAAATTTTAAAAAACATAATCCTATCTTTACACCCACCATTATTCCTAAAATACCCTTTAATTATTATTTTCTTTTTATCAAATGTAATAATTTAAAACCTTTAAAAAAAAAAAAAAGCTTAATGGAACTTAACAATTAACTCCTACAATCGTTATTCTTCTTTTCTTCTCTTTTTTCTTCTTTCTTTCTTTGCGGTTTCTCCACCCAATTGTATAGGTTTTTTTTCCCTCATCCTTTCTCTAAGTTTGGTTGGTTTTGGTGGTGGCTTGAGAAAATTCGGGGTTGGGACCCAAGAATTGGAGGTTCGTCTCATTGTTGAGTTGGAGGGTTTGTTAGGAGAGGATGTACGAAGCAATGACAAATGTAGATGGCGTATAAGAAGACAGGGCTGAGAAAGAAAGGTCACCTTAAATTGAATTTGAACGATTTTGATTATTATGTATAGATCAGTTAAGCCATTATAAAGAGAGTATAGAAAGAAAAAAAAAACTTCTTTTTTGGAGAGTTTGTTTAGGGTTTAGGAAGGAAGAAGGAAAAACCAAACCTCTACAATTGGGTGGAGAAGCTGCAGGTATAAGAAATAAGGAAAAAAAAAAAGACTAAACTGATTGGGGGAGATATTGACCACAAAAAAAAACGATTGGGGAAAGATGTTGCAAACAAAACAAACAGGAAAGGGGGAGAGGTTGAAGAGATAGGGAAAAAAAAGAAAACAAAAAGTAAATGATGGCAGGAGTTAAGGTTCAAATTGTTAAGTTGCATTAGAGTTTTTTTTTTCTTTTTGATTATGAAAAAATTTCAATATGTTGGATTAAATTTTAATGAGGTGGCATAAGTCCTTAAAAGTCATTTTACAAAGAGCTACATTTGTCCTTAAAATTTTGAAGATAAGGTGGGTGGGGATAACCAATCAACATGATAATATAGATTGAAATTTAGATACATACTTGAATTTGAATTGAGATTTAAATATGACTATTTGATTTTGAGTGAAATTAATGAATTTAGAAATTAGGAATTTCGATTGTTGATGTTGAAATCCTTGAAATTGAAAAAAAGGTTGTCAAAGGACTAAAAAAGAGAGCCAAAGATAGATATGGTGATGATTCTTACTTACAGAAAATAACGTTTTTTCCTTTATTATTATTATTAATTGTTGTTGTTACCAAAAAAAACTAAAACGATGATGTACAGTGCACACAAGCGGGTTTTGAAGCCACGCCTGACTATCATGCTTGTAATTTGATTAACAGTTGAGCCAAACATCCAAAGATTCAATATGGTAATATTACCAGTTTTATAATACATATGAAAAGGAAGGTCCAAATAAATCCAGTTTTATAATACAACTAAACATAATAACTAAATTATCTGATCAAAGAGATGCAGTGGCAGGATATGAGGCACATTAACAAAGAACATGTATAATCAGTGATGAAAGCGACGGTAACGAAATTCGTATGTCATGGTATCTTGTAGATGTGCACCGCAACATATCATGTAGCTTCTTGGCTTCTGATGACATTCTTCTCAAAGATTATGCAAAATAAAGAATAAAAAATTATTATCTATGATTAAAATAGAAAATGCATGTAATGGATATTATGCAAGTGCTACTGGACAAATATTAATGGTTAAATACTACTTTAAAAAATAGAAAATGCATGTAATGGATACCATCCTTAGAAGCATTTTAACGAGCCATATATAAATAAGCATTTTCAGGAGCCATATATAGACATTTTAAATGCAATTTTTATTTTATTTTATATTAATTAGTTGATTAGAGATTATTTTGTATTATAGTCCAATTAAAAGCCTAATTCGTAAGCATATAAGTAAATTAGTGTAATTTTTATTGAGTTACATTTGTGTTATCAGGGTACGTAGTATAATCTTTAAGAACATAGAGCTTAGGTATCAGGGGTTTATGGCTTCTCTGTGCCAATTAGAGACAAAATTATGGTATAGAAATTATTCTCTAATGCTTAAACAATAGTAAATCCTGAAAAGAAGTTTAAAAATAATAATAATAAAAAATGTGGAGATGGACGAATGACATAAGAAAGATAAGGCAAAGAAAAATAAAAAGCAACGCCAATTCATGAAAATATATTAAGCTATATATATCTTCTACTGATTTTATAGTGACCGACCATAGTGCTTGGTTCAATTGAAAACATACCTTCTTTTCTTTACACGTGGACGCTTTATAGACACATGTCGGCTGCTTATACATACAGAGACTCAGGAGCAAACACTTTTAATTTTGGACACTCGTCAACTTTGACTTCCTCCAAGGCTGGCCACTTCAAAGTATAAGCTTGAGAGCAGAAAGATTCAAGTTTGGGTAAATTCCGAAGTATGATATAATTTAGGTGCGGAAATGTCAATTCATCCTCAATACTTTCTCCTCCTCCTTCTACCTCTCCAACAATTTTCTCCATCGCACTACAACTGAAAACTCCTATTATCTCAAGGCAGGTAAGAAGTTTGGCTATGTGCAGTGAAAACAAGTATCTCAAATTGCCACAGCCCACTACTCCCAGTAATCTCAGGTTTCCAAAGCCTGAGCTAACTTGTAAACCCTTTTCCCATATGTGGCTCAGCGTTGGTAAATTCTCCAACATCAATTCCCTCAGCTTATCAAATGCTTGAGTAGAAGGGGTTTCCTGAACCAAAAATATCACTTCCAATAAATCGCAACTTTCTACACGAAGATCTTCTAGATTGTGGCTAGCACTTGAGGTCTGAAGATTCGCCGGCGTAACCTGCCAAAAGGGTAGAAAAGTAATTGTATATTAATTTGTTAGTGTTTCAATCATAAACATATGGGATATTATCACATTCTAGAAATCAAGAACGTTGTTTAAAAAAGAAAAGTGAATTGTTTATTGTTGAACTAAGCAAGTTACTAGTATTCATATAAAAAGAAGTTACCAATGTTGTTTATTGTTTAACTAAGCAGTTTAATTATTGTATATTATCACATTCTAGATATCAATAAAACTGTTTGCGAAAATAATGGTGATCATTTCCCAAATGAAAATGAACAAGTGTTTACAATTGTCATGGGTCGTGCTTGGGCCAAGCCCATTTAACTTTTCTTTTTTATTTTATTTATCTTTTATCTTCAATGAAATCTATACCTAAGACCAATTTTCACAAAATAGACACTAAATATTGCTTTAGAATAATGACGTACCTCTCTATTTGCAGGGCGGGGCAGTATTTGAGTAAAGTTGCGACTAGATGGACGACTTTGTAAGCAAACTAGTGGCGCACATCCAAATCCAGATCTAGATCCAGTTGATGATGCACATCCAGATCCTGATTCTTTTCTACCTCTTACATGATCATCACTCAAATTCTCTGCAACTGCTGCGGGGAGCTTTTTGTTTACTGGTGCAAAGCCCAATGTCTTTAATTTGGGACAACTTTTCACCACCATAGTTCTCGTGGAGGAGGACCATGCAAAAGAAAAGGCATCAGGGCAAAATCTCTCAAGGTTTGGCAATCTCTCAAGTGTGAAGCTATTGATCAGTAGTTTGGGAAACAAAGTCCTCGCGCCACTGCCACCTGTCTCTTTCCCTTCTTCATGGATATTGTCCTCTATGGAAGCAGCTGCCAGTACTATAGTTTCCATATTCTCACATAAATATATAAAGACTTCTTGGAGATTCTCAAGGAGCTTGTAAATTTCATAGGGGCATAGATATTTCAGACTGCCACATCCGAAAATTGTTAAAAATCTTACATTTTGAAAACCTTGGAATCCAGGTTGAACGTTCTTCCACAAATGCTCCTTGTGATGTAAAAGAAGAAAAATAGTGTTATTTGATGACAGCTCAATAAGTATTACTCATAAAGGCGACAACTTCATGTTCGACTCCTTTGCTCTTTCTACAGAGAAATTATTATATGGTACTTCGTTCACTCATGTGTTATGAGATTAATAGATGACATATAACTTAAAATTTGAGTAATGCATAGAATTAATATTATAAATAATGTCTAATATTCTAAAGCTGGGGCATATGGGTCATATCATAAAGCAATAGTTGTGGTACATGTATTGTTATTTTTTTATTTTTAGTAACAAGAAAACAAGTAGCACGGCGCATGGGTCATATCATAAAGCTGTTTTTTTTTTTTTTTGGTCTGAATAAAGCTGTTTTCTGAGTAGCTCTGTGGTGTGATATTGGACCCATGATCAGGGCACGTGATTCTTTAATTATTTTTTTTTTGTTTCTGATGGCGTGGCTGGTTGCTTATCATTAATTTTAGCACGTGATATCTGTGCTATGGGTACCTACTACATTTTACTCACAGAAGTTACTTACCTCCATGCAATCCAAGGGACTCTAAACTTCAAGTTACTTACCTCCATGCAATCCAAGGGACTCTAAAATCGCTATGAAAATCACATGCAAACAAACACATACATACCTCATTTGAATCGCACACTTCAAATGTCTGTAGTTGAGAAAATGCTGAGTCATGCCCTTCTAAATCAAATACCACATCACTTGTCAAAGAATTCACTTGTAGTTCCTCTAGATTTGGTAACCATGAAATGCAATTTGAAGGAAATACTTTTGATTTAGATGAGGTCGACCCAGCAACTTGATTGTCATTCCTAGTCTCTTTCATCTTCTTCACACTTTCATCATTAGGCTTTATAATCTGTAAAATAATTAATTCTACATAAATAATGAACTTACACATGAGCCAAAAAGAAAGAAATACATAAGTAATGAACTTCCACCATTTGTCTTATTTCCAAATTGCCTTAATTATATTCCCACATCCTCTGTCATAAATTTTGAGAAATCCTTTTCCTACCCACTATTTCCCTCAATTACTATTTACAAATAAACATTTATTGCATATGCAGACAAACTTAACTATTATTCTAACTTATGTATGTAGAAATAATAACACAAAAATCAATATTCAATGACATATTTATTGCAAAAGCATATGTACCATTTAAGCATCAAAAGATTAATTATTTGTTTAACTAACATATTTAGATACATATATACCTCATAGGTAGAGTCGTGTTGGTTGCTCGTGTAGAAACCAAAGTGCTCGGGCAGATAACAAAGCTTCAAAACTTTTAATTTTGACAATTTTATCATGTGAGATGCATTATCATCTTCCATTCTCTCATTTGATATGATCTCTTCTACTTTATGACAACTTTCAACTGTTAAGCTTTGGAGTTGTACCAAGTTTTGTGCTACGGATAGTGAAAAGACATATTTTAACTCATAACACAATTTAATTGCAATGGATCTTAGGTTCATAAAGGAGCGCTTGTCTGGATGTTGACGAGTCCAATCTGTTCCATTCATAAGATACTTTATGGTGAAGTCAAACATGATTGATAAAACTTTCAAGCGTTGAAAGCTCCCTTGATCATCAGATTGCTTCAAAAGCATCAAACTCTTTAAATTGTATGTGTCCTGTAGGCTTAAGTCTTCAGATTGCTTCAAAAGGTATCCAATTGTTCCAATCTCCATATATTCCGTTACATCACCATAAAGCATCAAACTCTTTTCAAATAGATAACCAGGCATTCCAGCATTGTGTGATCGACTAGTATTGATAGATACATGAAATCTTATATGCTCGTTCTTTAAGAGAAACTCATTCTGCACTATCTGACCAACAAGTATTTCTATGACTTAAGACTTTTAAATGAACAGATAGAGACGTCACCTCATCAAGGCTTGCCATGCTCGTTTCGTCCTTGCTTCCTATTGTTGGCCCCCAATTGAGAAAGCTTTTTGCCATGTACAACTCTTCTAACCTCCTTAAGTTGGATAAGACACCATGAGGAATTTCTTCAAGTCCTTCACAATCTGTTGCATCTAGAATCCTTAATCGTTGAAGATCTCTGATTTCTTTAGGCAACTTACTGATATCAGAGCGAGCAAAGCTGAGAATCTCTAAATTCTCCAAAACTCCAATAACATGAGATATGTCTCCCAATTTACAATCCTCTAGACACAAGGTATGAAGGTACTTGGGTTCTCCAAGAGCTAGAGATCTTTTCGAGGCCAAATAACCTGACATATCCATCCCCAAGAAAGCTAAAACCTTGAGTTCTTTCAACCTTTTAAAGTGGTGGGAATATTCTGAACTGGAGAAATTTATCAGTTGTAGAAGCTCAAGTTTTTGGCACTCCAAACCATCTGTATTATCTTCATCTAACTTAAAATTAATTAATGAAATTGCACTGTAATGTTCTTGGTTTGTAGCTTTTTGTAATCCTGACCATCCTCCATCTCCACCTTCTGTATCAAACGATCTTACCATAAATTTGTGAGGATCTTTTGAGGCAATTGATATAGCAACATCACGAACTATGTCATGCATTTTGATACACTCTTCCTCTTCACTATCCATCAACAAATACCTTCTTTTTAGTTGTCCAACGAAAGAATGCACTCTGTTTCTTTCATCTTCGATTGTGTTGGTGTTTCTAAAAGTTGCTCGACCCGCCCCATACCTCACCAAATACTCAATCGGAATATCATAATCTTCTGGAAATAAGCAACAAAGTAAAAAGCATGACTTGACTTCATCACTATCCAATTTATCATAACTCAATTTTATGCAAGAATAAACCTCAGGTTCCATTCCAGGGATGTTTTCAGGGAGGGAATGTTTCAGTTCATGCAAGGCAGTTTTCCATTCATGCTTGCCATTACTTGGTAGAAGAGCTTTCCCAACAGTTATGATAGCAATGGGTAAACCTTTGCATTCGTCAACAATCAATTTTGCAACATGAGACAAATCAGGATCATTGTCCAAGGATTCACCTACAGTCGCCCTGAAAAGCTCCCATGCTTCTTCTTTATTTAAGGCTTGGACTCTAAAAATGTCATCTTTACACCCCATTACTTTACAAACTTCTTCATTTCGAGATGTCAACAAAATGTTGCACCCTTCATGAACACCAAAAGGGATTCCTACATCCTGAAATTTAAGCTCTGACCATACATCATCTAATATAATCAGGATTCTTTTACTCTGCTTTGCACCCTTCATGAACACCTGTTGCATTCCTAAAAGGACACAAATTAATGTGCAAACAACCAATTAAAAATACCCGCAAGTGCACGAATCTAATGAAGTATAGATTATGTAAGTACGGGGTCGATCCCACGAAGAACTTGTCGGTTTCCTATAAGTTCTAATTTGAGTACGTAAAGAACACTAATTTTACACAACACACAAACACAATACAAATTGGAAACTAAAAATGAAGTAAGGAAGATAAAAGAAATGAAACAACACAAGAAAACAAAGAAAAACACAAACAGCACTTTCTATCACCCGTTTATCACTTCTTGTCTTTTCATTCCTCAAAGCACTAAGTACATCATTCATGACATCTTTTCTAGATTCAAAACCCTTAAAACCTTCACTAGAGATTATTGACCCTAGTTGTTGTCGAGGTGCAGGATTGGCAACATTATTACTTAGTCCTTCGTCTAGTTTGAGATCAAGTACACGCTCAGCAATTTTCTTGGCTTTCCTACTCAGAGAATACCGCGATTTCAAACTTGGGCACAATCCATACAAACACCGCCTTTGCTCGTTGACCTTTTTTTCAAGTTCTTCCACTTCATGAAATATTTTGTTTACATTCTCCAGCCAGCTCTGAACTTGATTTTTGATGGTTGCACCATTCCTTTTTGCAGCATCCACAAATCTTTGCAGGTCATTTTTCTTGTCATCAAGAATTTTAAGCACATTCTTTAGACTTTCTATGTTAGAATCGTAGTAAATTAGATAACTGAGTTGTCTCCCAATTAGTGCCACCGGTTTTTCTACAATTTTAGATGCAATTGAAGTACCAATCTCCTCCATTTTATGTTGCAGTTCAACACCTACACTTTTAATTATGAAAAATTCAAAGGTAAACCAATCAAAAACCTAACCAAACAAATCTCCTAGCAATTCTAACTCATAATCTATAAACAACACTCTTCCTCCTCCCCCACCAAAAAAACTTCTCAACACACCAAACCATCACAGCCACACCCACCGCTGGTATCTCTCTCTCTTATTTTTGTTTCTCAATTCCTACTTTGACAACACGTTTGCCAAACACCCACCGCCCACTCCTTGATTTGCTCAAGGTAATGGGATTCTGAGATCTCTCAATCATCCCATCATCAATGGATTCGTATATGATATTATATTATATTCTACCGACGAGATGCTCTGTTTCAATTTAATTTGAAATCCTCCCATCTACTTTCAGGTTGTTTCATGGATGGTGATTTGATTTCATTAGATTTGAAACTAAGCGTTTCTAGATATGCAACTAAACTTTAGTTTTTATGTCAATCACAGCAGGTTTGAAACGATGATTATGAGCGACGAGGGTGGGGTGATTTTCTGGGCTTATGCTCTTGGGGTGTTTGGGTTGTTCTAGGATTTTTTTCTATATTTTATTTTGTTTAAGTTTTAGTCTTTATTTTGACCTTTGAACTATAGTTAACACGAGACAGATATAGACTAACAAAAGGGTGTGATTGTAGTAAATGAAACATGTCGGATCTGACTCTAATTATACCAAACTTCAGGGAGTCTAAGTGAAATTCTCCCCTTGTTAAAATGACCCCAGCTTGAGCTTTGGTGTGCCCAGCTGACAAATCTCGTTAGCAGCTCACATCTTTTTATGAAATAGCTTGCGTTTGCTTCATTCAAGTTTGGTCATAAACGTTAGGCTTTACAATCTTATAATTAAATGCAAAGATGTCGCAATTATTATATTTGTGTACTTAAAAACGTTCATTGATTTATTTTTTTTCATTGATTTTAATATTTTCTTAACTTGGGCTAAACTTGAGTTTAAGAGCATCCACCACAATCATGCTCTTTAGTATTTTAGGAGTTCTCTATCAAATTTCAACTCCAACCATACTCTCTAGTTTAATATTTTTTTTAATTCAATTTTTGAATAAAGTGCAGACACAAAAGCAACAACAAAAAATGGTTGGCATTAAATAAATGGTTAAAATACTATTAAAATAAGGGAGCATTAAATTATAGGGAGCCATTAGAAATCCTCTCTCTCTCTCTCTCTCTCTCTCAAATTTAGGAGCTCCTAAAGGTCTCCATATTTTTCAATTACTCAGTAAAATTTGTCTAAAGAGGTGTTCTAGGGGTCTCTCTATTTTTCAATTCCTCCATAAATGTTGTCTAAAGAGGTGTTTTAGAATTATGGATGCTCTAAACTCACTTAAAAAATGAGTTCAGTCGAGCCAACCATAAACACTCAATCAATAGATGCTAAGTCAAGTCGAGCTCAATAAACAATCGATCAGTAGATGCTTAGTCAAGCCCAACTCAAAGGGCCACCTATAATACTGTTCCATTATATATTGTGTGGGAAATATCCTATAAAACCTAATCATTTATGGATATTACCTATATTTACTTAGTAATTATATTAAATTAATGGCCAGATCATTATTGATAGAAATATTCCAATAAATAATTATATGCTTAAACAATAGTCGAATGAAAATGAAATAGAGAGAAAGTAAAAAAGTTAATTAGATTCATGAGATCTTTCTCTCTCATCCTCATAGTCAATGTAGTTCATAGCCATAGGATTGTTAACTGAGTATTGATAATCCATAAAAACTGGGGCATCTTATGTTTGTTTAATTAGGAGGACGACTGTTCTTTAGTCATTAATGTAGAGACACTAAGAAAAGTATGCATCTGCTCTATAGATGGTGAATTTACTAAACGCGATCAATTAATAGTTCTTTCGTGGAAGTTGTACTTCTATGTCAAACAAGAATATTGTCGCAATAATGCATACTAGTCCTTAAATCTTGAACACTCTATTTGTCTTATGAGTAGATCATGTATTATTGGGTTTGTGATTAATCCATACAGGTATGTGTGTGTAGTAAGGCCCAGGCAAAGCAACCTAAAGCCCCCAAGGGTCATCTACCTTGATTGTTCTTAAAGAAGAATTTAAAAATAAGAAAAAAAATATTTTAAAAACAAACAAACAAAACCTTGTTTTTTCATCTCTTCTAAAAGGACATCGTCAACCTCAAGGGGCACCCCCAACCCACGCTAGGCGACGAGGCCAAACAGCCCCTCCCCCAATCTAACTTCCAGACGCGGCCCCCACCCTCTATCTCACCCTAGTTGTCGCCCTCATATCCCATTTCACCTAGGGCTGCAATTTACATCGATAGACTGCCAAACCGACCAAACAGAATCAGTGGTTTGGGTTTTTTCACTTAATTTTTGGTTTTGGTCAACAAATCGAACGGAACCAGTTGTGAAGAATGTTTCAACAAATCGAACGTAAATTTATAATCTTGGTTTATGATGCAGTTTTTAATTTTTCCTTTCTACTTTAGTTTTTATCTTTTGCTGTAGTTTATTATTTTATTTATGTCTAGTTAAATTCTGTTAATGATGAAACACCATTATAAAATTAATTTCTCATATTTTTTCTTTTATTTCCTAATTATATTCTTCAATGTTAATAACTTTGGTTTCACATGATTAATAAATTAACTTTCTCTTCACCGCTTTTATCATATATTTATGGAAACGTTAGGCTTTACAATCTTATAATTAAATGCAAAGATGTCGCAATTATTATATTTGTGTACTTAAAAACGTTCATTGATTTATTTTTTTTCATTGATTTTAATATTTTCTTAACTTGGGCTAAACTTGAGTTTAAGAGCATCCACCACAATCATGCTCTTTAGTATTTTAGGAGTTCTCTATCAAATTTCAACTCCAACCATACTCTCTAGTTTAATATTTTTTTTAATTCAATTTTTGAATAAAGTGCAGACACAAAAGCAACAACAAAAAATAGTTGGCATTAAATAAATGGTTAAAATACTATTAAAATAAGGGAGCATTAAATTATAGGGAGCCATTAGAAATCCTCTCTCTCTCTCTCTCTCTCTCTCTCTCAAATTTAGGAGCTCCTAAAGGTCTCCATATTTTTCAATTACTCAGTAAAATTTGTCTAAAGAGGTGTTCTAGGGGTCTCTCTATTTTTCAATTCCTCCATAAATGTTGTCTAAAGAGGTGTTTTAGAATTATGGATGCTCTAAACTCACTTAAAAAATGAGTTCAGTCGAGCCAACCATAAACACTCAATCAATAGATGCTAAGTCAAGTCGAGCTCAATAAACAATCGATCAGTAGATGCTTAGTCAAGCCCAACTCAAAGGGCCACCTATAATACTGTTCCATTATATATTGTGTGGGAAATATCCTATAAAACCTAATCATTTATGGATATTACCTATATTTACTTAGTAATTATATTAAATTAATGGCCAGATCATTATTGATAGAAATATTCCAATAAATAATTATATGCTTAAACAATAGTCGAATGAAAATGAAATAGAGAGAAAGTAAAAAAGTTAATTAGATTCATGAGATCTTTCTCTCTCATCCTCATAGTCAATGTAGTTCATAGCCATAGGATTGTTAACTGAGTATTGATAATCCATAAAAACTGGGGCATCTTATGTTTGTTTAATTAGGAGGACGACTGTTCTTTAGTCATTAATGTAGAGACACTAAGAAAAGTATGCATCTGCTCTATAGATGGTGAATTTACTAAACGCGATCAATTAATAGTTCTTTCGAGGAAGTTGTACTTCTATGTCAAACAAGAATATTGTCGCAATAATGCATACTAGTCCTTAAATCTTGAACACTCTATTTGTCTTATGAGTAGATCATGTATTATTGGGTTTGTGATTAATCCATACAGGTATGTGTGTGTAGTAAGGCCCAGGCAAAGCAACCTAAAGCCCCCAAGGGTCATCTACCTTGATTGTTCTTAAAGAAGAATTTAAAAATAAGAAAAAAAATATTTTAAAAACAAACAAACAAAACCTTGTTTTTTCATCTCTTCTAAAAGGACATCGTCAACCTCAAGGGGCACCCCCAACCCACGCTAGGCGACGAGGCCAAACAGCCCCTCCCCCAATCTAACTTCCAGACGCGGCCCCCACCCTCTATCTCACCCTAGTTGTCGCCCTCATATCCCATTTCACCTAGGGCTGCAATTTACATCGATAGACTGCCAAACCGACCAAACAGAATCAGTGGTTTGGGTTTTTTCACTTAATTTTTGGTTTTGGTCAACAAATCGAACGGAACCAGTTGTGAAGAATGTTTCAACAAATCGAACGTAAATTTATAATCTTGGTTTATGATGCAGTTTTTAATTTTTCCTTTCTACTTTAGTTTTTATCTTTTGCTGTAGTTTATTATTTTATTTATGTCTAGTTAAATTCTGTTAATGATGAAACACCATTATAAAATTAATTTCTCATATTTTTTCTTTTATTTCCTAATTATATTCTTCAATGTTAATAACTTTGGTTTCACATGATTAATAAATTAACTTTCTCTTCACCGCTTTTATCATATATTTATGGTAGTTAAGAGTTTTGGATTAATTTATTAATACATCCTTGGTTTTATATTTTTAGTATACAAATTTCTTTGATCTCTTGTCATTCAAATAACCTTTTTCACTTAGGATACTTAGGAAACTTTGATCCTTTATAGTTAAATAATTGTTTTTACATGTGATGCTTAGAATTTATACTAATAAATGAAGGGGGGATTTACAAAAGATTTATTAAATTGGAGGCTTAATTGATATATCTTGAGAAAGCAGTAAATTGATTTCTAGATTGCTACTCTATGGGAATTGATAGGTAAATAATTAGAGTTTTATGGAATAGTGTGGTGTGGATTCTAATACCTTAGTTTATTGTCATTCCCATAATTTTTTTTTATGCTTTATTTAATTGTCTTTTCAACCAACAAATCATCCTTGGATGGAACTAGGTTAGTAATTGAATTAATTCGGGTTGGATTAGCTTTCTATCTTCTTCGTGCAGTTCTTGTTTGTATGACCTCATTCTTACATGTCTACATTACATTCGATTTATGCACTTGCGATTATTTATATAAATTTAAGACGACACCTATTTTGGTGACAAACACTACCCCGCTCAAATTCCAGTCGAATCCATCATTTTAAAACCTATATCCGAGTTTCAAATCCAATTAATTCCTCATAGTTTCATTCAGCTCACTGCAAAGCAGACAAATAATATCACAAAGTTCAAATCAATAACCGGCACATGACCAGTGCTTTGTCCTCGAAAACGTTGCTCACTTGACTAATTTTCTCTCTAATTTACTGCTAATTCACTAAGAGAGATAAGGATAGTTTTTTTTCTCTCTCGTTTCTCTTTTACCAATTAACAACACCACACATGCATTGCACTTAAGTCACCAAACTCCGTATTTGGGACCTCCCGACTAAGATCATATTTGAAACATGGACTTTCATTATATATGATCTCATATTTTCACAATTTGACCCCAAAAAAATTTCATTTCCAAATTCCAAATAAAACTGAAATAAGTTATCAAACAACTTTTAAACAATTTTCAATTTAATTTTTAAAACTAAAGTTGGTTACCAAACAAGTTTTGTAGTTTTAATTTTTTTAAAATGAAAAGTGAAAACTAATAAAAACAAAAAACTGAAATCGTTATCAAGCGGACCATAAGTATTTATTTTATTAAGTTTAATTTTTTGGTTTAAGAATCTTTTTTTTAATCTTAAGTTGAATTTTCAAATGTTTTATTAATATTTTATTCTGCTTCATTTTTTTTTTTTAAGTGGACCCTATGTGTGCCACATTGTCATTTAAAATGAACCCTACGTGTAACAATTTCAAAAAATGGTAGGTACTTGCTAAAAATGAAAACATGGATATATACTAACTTAAAATTAACACATTTTTTGGGTGAAGCATTCAAAATTCTAGAAAATAACATTCCTTTTTTTTAATCATTATTTCTTTTTCTGGCTATGTTAGAGGGTATTGAACCTACACCTATCCTAATTCTTTGTCATTACCTTGCATTCCCTCACCACTTGAGCTAACTTCAACAGTTTTCTAACTTAAAAAGTTTATTTAATTAAGAAAGCAATCTAATAAAATGGGTGTATGATCATAAAATGAAATCTATATATAAAGGAAGAGACCACAAATAGTGAAACATTAAAAACCCTTCAAATATCCCTGGTTATGTAATTTTGCTGAACAACTTCATTCTTTTGTTTTTTTCATTTGTTTTCTTGTTTTTTAATGCATAAACTAATGTATGTTTACTCTAAAAGGTTCTCCATCACAATTATAAAAAACAAATAAGAAGAAGAAACAAAAGTAAATTGGTGAACGCATGAGTGTGTGCCAAGAGGTAGTCGATAAAGAAAATTAAAAATTTCTAAGAAAAACCAACCTTGAGTTAGCAGCAATTTATAGCACTATCCGTAATCCGAATGCTCATTATCTCACTAACGCCATGCAACAACTACCTTGAAAGACTGCAGACATAAAGCCAGAAATATATAGATGAAACAAAGATATATATATTTGTGCGTGAGATAATAAATAATACAGAAATAGGACAAAATAATGCTAAGTAGGTTTGGAAGAAGAAAAGCAAGAAAACTTATAGGCATGAAACCAAAAAAAGTAAACAGGCCCTTAATCCCCAAAAATACAGAAAGAATATTACAAAGGTCACGAACATGAGATTTCCAAGTAAAGTGTCAAGCGAATCACTTGCGTTGTGCTGAAGTGTGAAGGCAAACAACTATTTCAAGACTTACCTAGCTCTCCAATGCAATGTTTCAGCTGGTGAACTCTTGCGAGAAGCTTGAATGATATAATTAATTATAACCACAAAAGGGACAATATATGAACTGAGAATTACTTAGAGGAAGTGAATGAGTATGTCACGTTCGCTATGTAGAAGAGCTAAAGGATGAGTTTGTGTTAGCTATATATAAAAAGAGACGAGGAGAAAATGTATAACGAGCATTACTTCAAGAGAAGGTGATGCCATGTTTAAAAAGATGGTTTTAGAATATTTAAAAGCAAACCTAGGTAGCACGTAACAACACACATCTCTCTACCAACCCAATTTCAAGGAATCTTTTTACCAAAAATAAAAAATTTCAAGGATCTTTTTGTATTTTTGAAGATTCAATATTCTAAACTACTCTAATGTATGATAATATCGATCGAACTTGAGCTGCCACGTTGTATTGGTCAACATTGCCTAACACACATTTACATTGTGAAGGAATTTTCAAATAATTAAAGTGGATTTTAAGGATATGGGTTACCCAATTTATTAATGAAATGTCGTTCAACAATAAATAATGATAAGCAAGAATATATACCTCCTTGACCTTAACTAACGAGGAAGGCTGGTATAAATACTAGCCCTCTCTAACAAGGAAAATAAAAGTGAGGGGATACTTGACGTTTTCTCCTCATTGATAACTCTAACAAAGAAATATCACTTTTTGGTTTCATATAGACAGAAAATTAACCCAACTCAAGTGTCAAATATTTCTTCAAGCGAATGGGATCCTGCTACCCTTTTCTAAAAGATGGTTTTAGAATATTTAAAAGCTAAACCTAAATATTTCCCTGAACATCCAGCTCGAGCGTATATGCTTGCCATGCCCAAGTTTTTGTAGCACATTTTTTTGATTTATCAACTTTAAAGAATATATATATATATATATATATATAATTTCACTATAAATATCAAAATATGCTGGGAAACAAAAGGTAGGCAGTAACAACACACATCTCCACCAACTCAATTTCCTCTGAAACGTGCGAAGGAATTTTCAAATAATTAACTTGGATTTTAAGGATATTTTTGTTACCAGTTTTATATTAATGAATTTCTGCGAGATACCTTCTTAATGCACGAGGAAAAGAAAAGTGCAGGGATACTTGAAACTTGACACATTCTTCTCACTAGCCTCTTCATAAGTGTTTTCACGCCTTTGAGAGGGTTTTAAAAAAAAAAAAATTATTTTGAAAAGTGCTGAATTAGATCCAGATATGAGATTATCTTCAAGAACGAAAGAGAAAGAGAGAAGTAGGAGGAGGCGGTGTTCTCGCCGTCTAGGTGGAGGCGGTGTTCTCGCCGTCTAGGTGGAGGCGGTGTTCTCGCCGTCTAGGTGGAGGCGGTGTTCTCGCCGTCTAGGTGGAGGCGGTGTTCTCGCCGTCTAGGTGGAGGCGGTGTTCTCGCCGTCTAGGTGGAGGCGGTGTTCTCGCCGTCTAGGTGGAGGCGGTGTTCTCGCCGTCTAGGTGGAGGCGGTGTTCTCGCCGTCTAGGTGGAGGCGGTGTTCTCGCCGTCTAGGTGGAGGCGGTGTTCTCGCCGTCTAGGTGGAGGCGGTGTTCTCGCCGTCTAGGTGGAGGCGGTGTTCTCGCCGTCTAGGTGGAGGCGGTGTTCTCGCCGTCTAGGTGGAGGCGGTGTTCTCGCCGTCTAGGTGGAGGCGGTGTTCTCGCCGTCTAGGTGGAGGCGGTGTTCTCGCCGTCTAGGTGGAGGCGGTGTTCTCGCCGTCTAGGTGGAGGCGGTGTTCTCGCCGTCTAGGTGGAGGCGGTGTTCTCGCCGTCTAGGTGGAGGCGGTGTTCTTGCCTTCAAGGTGGAGATAGTGTTGTCACCGACGAGGTGAAGAAGGTATCGCTGCCGGCAAGGTGGGTTGGCTGACGGTGTTGGGTGGGTGGGAGTTTGGTGGATGTTGGTTTTTTTTGTTTAATTTTCAATTTTTTTATGCTTAATTTATTAAAAGTTAACACTATGTATTAAGAGTTGAGTTTGATTAACAAGAAACAGAAAAAGAGTTCAGTGAATAGAGAGGCGTCAAAGAATTAGATAGGGGACAGGTGGGTACAGGAAAAAGAGGGATAGAAGATCTGGACTCCAACAACCCACCCATTGGATAAATCTTTCGCTTCCTGCCTCTTACTCTTAAACCGCAACGTCTATAGTGCACCCGGTGCGCAATTGTTTTAGGGTTAATGATAGTTTAGTACTTTGTAGTTGCACCTTAAGACATGTTAGTTCTTATTTTCTCAGTTTCCGTTAAATCTCTCTTTTAGTTGCTTACGACATGTTAGTTCTTATTTTCTCAGTTTCCGTTAAATCTCTCTTTTAGTTGCTTACATGTCATTGTGAGTTCTAATTTTCGCTTTTTTGTAATTTTAAAATAATTAAAATATTAAAAAACAAATTAAAAAATTAAACAAATAAAAATAGAACCCCATCATCT